AACATTTCTATCTTTATCCCATCAATCCCGGCTGCCTTACCCCCTTTCATTTTACTTACTGCCACACGAACTTCCCCCACACTCACAACTGGCTCTTCCTCACTCCTACAAGATGTTATTCCTCCTTGCCCTATACACGAAATCACAGCTTCCCTATCTTCATCAACATTTAACAATTCCTCAAAATATTCCCTCCATCTTCCCAATACCTCTAACTCTCCATTTAATAACGCTCCTCTCCTATTTTTAACTGACAAATCCATTTGTTCTCTAGGCTTCCTTAACTTGTTAATCTCACTCCAAAACTTTTTCTTATTTTCAACAAAATTTGTTGATAACATCTCACCCACTCTCTCATTTGCTCTCTTTTTACATTGCTTCACCACTCTCTTAACCTCTCTCTTTTTCTCCATATACTCTTCCCTCCTTGCATCACTTCTACTTTGTAAAAAACTTCTCATATGCTAACTTTTTCTCCCTTACTGCTCTCTTTACATCATTCCACCAATCGCTCCTCTTCCCTCCCACACCCACTTTCCTGTAACCACAAACTTCTGCTGAACACTCTAACACTACATTTTCAAACCTACCCCATACCTTTTCGACCCCATTGCCTATGCTCTCATTAGCCCATCTATCCTCCAATAGCTGTTTATATCTTACCCTAACTGCCTCCTCTTTTAGTTTATAAACCTTCACCTCTCTCTTCCCTGATGCTTCTATTCTCCTTGTACCCCATCTACCTTTTACTCTCAGTGTAGCTACAACTAGAAAGTGATCTGATATATCTGTGGCCCCTCTATAAACATGTACATCCTGAAGTCTACTCAACAATCTTTTATCTACCAATACATAATCCAACAAACTACTGTCATTTCGCCCTACATCATATCTTGTATACTTATTTATCCTCTTTTTCTTAAAATATGTATTACCTATAACTAAACCCCTTTCTATACAAAGTTCAATCAAAGGGCTCCCATTATCATTTACACCTGGCACCCCAAACTTACCTACCACACCCTCTCTAAAAGTTTCTCCTACTTCAGCATTCAGATCCCCTACCACAATTACTCTCTCACTTGGTTCAAAGGCTCCTATACATTCACTTAACATCTCCCAAAATCTCTCTCTCTCCTCTACATTCCTCTCTTCTCCAGGTGCATACACGCTTATTATGACCCACTTTTCACATCCAACCTTTACTTTAATCCACATAATTCTTGAATTTACACATTCATATTCTCTTTTCTCCTTCCATAACTGATCGTTCAACATTACTGCTACCCCTTCCTTTGCTCTCTCTCAGATACTCCAGATTTAATCCCATTTATTTCCCCCCACCGAAACTCCCCTACCCCCTTCAGCTTTGTTTCGCTTAGGGCCAGGACATCCAACTTCTTTTCATTCATAACATCAGCAATCATCTGTTTCTTGTCATCCGCACTTCATCCACGCACATTCAAGCATCCCAGTTTTATAGTTTTTCTTCTCTTTTTTAGTAAATGTCTACAGGAGAAGGGGTTACTAGCCCATTGCTCCCGGCATTTTAGTCGCCTCATACGACACGCATGGCTTACGGAGGAAAGATTCTTTTCCACTTCCCCATGGACAATAGAAGAAATAAAGAAGAACAAGAACTATTTAGAAAAAGGGGAAAAACCTAGATGTATGTATATATATATATGCATGTGCGTGTCTGTGAAGTGTGACCAAAGTGTAAGTAGGAGTAGCAAGATATCCCTGTTATCTAGCGTGTTTATGAGACAGGAAAAAAGAAACCAGCAATCCTACCATCATGCAAAACAGTTACAGGTTTCTGTTTCACAGTCATCTGGCAGGACGGTAGTACTTCCCTCTGTGGTTGGTTGCTGTCTACCAACCTACTACCTACATATATATATATATATATATATATATATATATATATATATATATATATATATATATATATATATATATATATATATATATATAATGAGAGAATTGAGGCGAGTACATAGTATGTTATTTCTAGTCATTCCTTCTGTACATAGTGTGGACATTATGATCACACTTTTCGAAGACCTTAGCAAAATCTACCGATATTAAAACGTCCACATTTCGAAAGCTTGTCTTTCAAGGAGACCACAACCACGTTGCGAGAGGCTGGAGCAACCTGCTTTAAACACATGCTCTCATTATGTTTACATGTTGTGCTTCCATGTGTTTAGCAATGTTGCTTCTTAATTCTCTTTGTGATCTTGATGTGTGAGATCAGTGTTACTAGCTTATGGTTGTCTGATTATTTTACTGACACCTTTGTGGAATAAGGGAATATCTGAGACTAACTATGCGATACTTGCGTCTGAGACTGTCTATAGGATAATGAAGGTTTGTGATTATGAGTTTTTAATTTACTCGAACAAAGAGTTTAGTGAATACGGGCCTCATATAGAGTGCATGGGCATGCTGTCATGGTCTATCTAAAGTCAGGCAGGGTTATGTCAGAAATATTGAGTTTCTGTCACGTTCGTGACAAAACCAGTTGTCAATCTTTAGTCTGATGACGTATATATTTCGAAAACTGTGATAAAAAAAATACGAAGTGTAGTTTAGGAAACTTTAATAATGACAATATTTCGCCAGTATAACAAAATTTTTCAAATCAATGACTTGAAAAACCCAGTTTTACAGCAGAAATATTGTCATATTCAAATTTCTTAAACTGTACTTTGATATTTTATCATATAAACTGTCGGTATTCATTTACCATTATCATATTTGTTTTTATATTACAGACCAATTCAGCTTATTTTTTTTAATATCTGTGCTACTGTGTTAACTATGATATACAAGTTCATTACAATTACATTTTGCAATTAAGATGATTTTATCTTCGATTTTTTTTCAAAATAGTTTATATTCAAAATAAAAATTTTGAAATGAAAGCAGCAATCCTGGTCCTCACCATTTTCCAATTATACGAAAGTTATATAATTGGTATTTGGGTAACAGTAACCGGCAAATATATTTATCACTATGTAGATAAGACTGAAGAAGCCACTCGTAGTGAAACGTTTCCTATCATAAATGTCATAACTGTATGTCTTCCAAAGATAAGACTATTCTTCCTCTACATAATTCCATAAATTATCATTCATATTTATTACAAACTGTTATGCAGAGGTAATTCACACATCAAACGTTGTATTCATAATAAAATTTGCTCAATAATTAAAACCGACCATGAAATGCTTAGATCTATTTCTGCTGAATGAATTCTTTATTAAGTTTTCTTTTATATTCATTATCATGCCTCCGGACGTAATTTGAAAGAATATTAAGCTGTGTTTACTGTTACTAGTCCACAGTTATATTACCTGTCTTGCTAATACGAGGTTACAATAGTGTGTGAGGTTATATGAGTCTGAGGTTATAACAGTGTACGAGGTTATAACTGTGAGATCATAGCAGTGCGAGGGTATAACAATGTGTGAGATCATAACAGTGTGTCAGGTTTTAACAGTGTGTGAGGTTGTCATATACTATGTAGAGTGGATAAAAATTGTTAAAACAAGGCTGCCAGGCCCTCTAGCGCCTGAACGAGATATTACTTCCCCAAAAATAATAAGGTGAATTACTAGCTGCTGTTGATATTTTCATAAGTTGTAGTGTGATAAATGAGTGTATATATATACGACGCACTGTGTTATAAATTTACCATAAATATACGATTACATTACGATATTCGAGACAATTTTTCTTCAAAATAATGTATTCTCATAAAATTTGTGAATTTCAACATGAAATACACATGTACAACACCACTCAGTTCTCGGTATATATTTGGTATTTCTAGACTGATTAAAGCCTGGGAAGGCAGTCATGAAAGCCCTTTGCCAACTGTAGGGATGTCTTTTATGATTGTTGTTATCTACTAATGGTTCAGGGGTCGTAATCCCCGCGGGTCGGTCTCAGGCTTCCGTAACTAGGAATAAAAGAAATTTTATAAAATAAACTATTAAGAAATACTGGGAGTTTAATTACTATGGGATTTTCGTGTTCGTATAAGACGATGTTTGGATAGGTTTTTGCTGCGTTCGTTATTAATTAGTTAATGAATTTGCAGGCATTGTGGAGGACCCATTTTTGGGACAATGAACGTAACTAGGGTAATAAACCAGACCATCAACCAAGAGGACTGGTCTGAAACCAAGCCGCTAAGACCCCGAACCCAGGAACTATCAACAGACACACAAAGATATAATTTTAACTAATTTTTAAAGGGGTGAACCGGTAAGTCAGCGGAAGGCCTCGGTCAGATGACCAAAAGCTTCAGCTGTGGGTCATCATATGACTAAAACCCGCGTCAGATTTCCTGACAAATCTTATCTAACCTAACAGAGAGACGATAGGTAGGTAGCCTAAAGATATTTAATTAGCCTCCCACTACTCACATTCAAATAAGATAATTGTTTAAACAACAGTTTTTGCAACAAGGAATTCGTTTTAAATATAGTCCACACAAAAATTATTAAGACCAGAATAAATCCAAAATTCTGGTATAGATTTCGAAATGAGATAGAATTACATTTTAAATATAGCTTTGCAGGCCACAACAAGACCAATGCTAAAAGATGTCCCAATACACTGATGAACTTGACACTGAAGCAGGCAATTTTCCGATGACATGCAAAACTAATAACACTTGGGTAACATTATGCTAAGACAGTATATATCTCTTACCAAGTACCAATCCTATTTAAAACCATACATACTACGTAACATACAGATATATATTCAATTCTCATGACATAAAACAATCCTACTTCAGAGCAATATTAAGAAACAAAGAGAGGAAGATCCTTACAAACATGAGACTAATTCTACTTAGAAACATCCAATAAGGGTACACATTACACAGTGAGGTGTGTGAGGGAGAGACAAGGATGTGTTACACTAACATGTAGAGTACAATATGGAAAAAAAAGGCAGTGAGGGGGCCAGCCACTACTTACGTTTCTCACTGCAGTACTCGGTAGTCCACCATTCTCCTGTTCATTATACACCACGCTGCCATTCACCCACTTCTCTCTACTTACCTGTAACAAAAATGCCTTGTTAATTATCTTATGTACAATATAAACAAAGTAAAAAATAAATTTACCAATAAAACTGCATTTGTGAAATGAACATTATGACGAGGCTTCGGTCCGTCCTCGACCATTGTCCAGTCATAACTTGGTCCAGGACAGACCGAAACATCGTCAGGTTTCTCTCCTAAGTGCGGGTTTCTGGTGAATTGTTCCAGCCACGGTATTGTGGTGTTTTAGTCTAAATAAAATCAACATAAATTCATTGCCATGGTGGCTATATTCAGGTAGCACACGTGCATTGCTACATGCCTGCATATTATTCATTAATAAAAGGACCTCTTTACTTTAATAACTATATTATGCAACGCATTAAACTTTATTGCTCCAACCTGCATTGATATGGAAGACAATCAACCATACGCAGGATGTGTTTCCATCGTTGAGTCATCCAAGAAAGATATTCTATGTCCTGTAGACCCAGCCCTCTCTACCCTTGCACGAGTTATTCTACTTTAACCTTCAAGCCCTCGGTAGGCAAAGAGGCTGCAGCTTAACTTTCCTGAGACATCGGAGGTATAGTTCAACCCTCCCAAGAAATCCACGAACTGGAGATTAACACTTTTAACAGGTAAATAAGATTTACGCAGTATGGTATAAACCTTTGGAAAAAATATTATCTGGTTTTGAAAGACACGTGAGTAAACACTAATACGTATTTATTAGAAAACGTTTCAGTCCTGGGACCTTGATCACTTCTAACATACAGAGGTTAAAAAGACAATATATACTGGCGAAGAGTGAGGTGTGAGTGACACATGGTGACCTGAAGAATGCCATATTGGGTTAAGGACAAGTAGACAACGGGATTATATGACTCCTGTATTGTTAGATAGGTAGTGTTTTGCCTGGTTGAGCATCATGTATGCTAAATGTTTTCGAAATTTTGTAGTTTCCAGTATTATGTATACGTGCTAGTGTTTGCTCGCTTGTCTTTCTAAATCAAAGGAGATTTAATCCAACACACTCAAGAATTCAAGCATCAGCTACATCCTTAAGAGTCGGGAACTAGAACCAAATCCTGTTTGTCACTCGAAATATTTTATCAGTAACACACTCAGAACATCAAGAGAGCACCAAGATACATAATACAGTGTGTTAGTCCATAATGTGTGGCATAACACATTAAAACGCAACAAATATCGTACAAAACTTTCACGAATAGTTAAAATTCATAAAGCAATGGTAAAAAAAAAATTGGAGATATTTATTAAAACGCGTAAATATACGCTGTTATTTTGTGATGAGGGAACTATTATAAATTTCTCAAACATCAAAATATCTTAAAAAAAATAAGTTTCATTATTTTTGTTTGTTTTCTATTCATAATCACATTCCAAATTATCCAGAAGCCTGTACAAAAAAAAAAAAAAAAAAAAGACGACTTAATAAATTGGCAAGAGCATGCCTGCCGTAGCTATCACATATGCACAGCTTAAAACAAAAGTGGGAAAATTGGCACCCACAAGTCCATCATCAATCTACGCCCCGCTTTAAAGTAAGATACATCAGCAATGAAGGCTTTAAGTCCATCAGAGGAGACATTCACAATTTACAGCATGGAAACCTGAGTGATTTACCTGTGACCGGTTTCGAACGGTTTTCTACCCATTTCCGAAAACTGGCAGTAAACCGAAAGCGAAAAATTATAGACCCAATAGCTCTAACTTCATAAATCATCAAAATCTCGGAACGAGTCCTAAGAAACAAGACTGATAATCACAAGGAACTGCAACAACTGTAGAATCCATTGCAGCATGGATTTAGAGCAGGTCGCACCTGCCTTTCACAACTGCTACACCATTACAACATAGTCTTGGATGCACTGGAAGACATACTAAATGCTGATTTTGCAGAGCCTTTGACAAGTGAGATCACGGTGTGATTACGCACAAAATGCGTGCAAAATGAATAACTGGAAAAATGGGCATATAGATATTTAACTTCTTAATAAAGTGAAAAGCTGTGTTCCTCATAGTACGGTACTCGCCCCACTTCTGTTTCTCATTCTTGTATCTGCCAAATATAAGGACATAAATCACTGCTCCGTAACATCCTTTGCTGATAACACCAGAATATGAGAGAGGCGTCCGTCGAAGATACAGCGAATTTTCAGGCGGATATATAACAAGTCTTCCAGTGGGCCTCATACAACAATACGATGATCAGTGAGGACAAGTTCCATTTGCTCTATTATGGAAGAATGAAGGAAACAGACTGAAACGGTGTCAATTTTTTAAACTCAAATCAAAAGGGGGAATGTTTCACACGTGAAACTTGGGAATTATGATGTTAGATCTTACATTCTAGGATCACAATAATGTTGCTAATGCTACCGCAAGGAAAATAATTAGCTACATAACTAGAACTTTCAAGACAAGATGCTGAGCCAATGATGATACTCAGGTCACTTGTTCCGTCCCTGCTAGAAAAGTGCTCTATACTATGAGCCCCTTTCAAGGCAGGCAAGACTGCTAAGCTGGAAGACATAGAGAACCTTCATTGCGAGTATACATTCAATCAAACATCTAAACTACTGGGAACATCTGAAGTCTCTGCAACTGTATTTGAAACGTAGACGAGAAAAGTACTTCATAATTTACATCTGAAAAATCCTGGAGGGACTGGTTCCAAAAATGCACACTTAAGTCACTCCGTACGACAACAAAGAGACTTGGCAGATAGTGCAGACTGCCTGTGATAAAAAGCATGGGTGTGATAAGTACACTAAGAATTCTACGAGTGTCAGAGGTCCTCGACTTTTAACGGCCTCCCTTCATGCATAAGAGGAATTACCAACAAATCTTTGGCTGCTTTCAAGGGGTAACTGGACAAGTTCCTCAAATCGGTTCCAAGCCAGCCCAACTGTGATCCGTATTTTGGATTGCATGCGGCCAGTATTAACAGCCTGGTTGATCAGGCCTTGATCCACCGGAAAGCTTGGTCTGGGACGGGGGCACTGACCTTCGAAAACACCCTTCAGGTATGCTACAAGTACCCCAGCAGCCCGGCTTGAGGCCATACTTCCCTGATGATCGCTTGGTCAACCTGACTGTTTATGCTGGCTGCCCACAGGTGTACACAACCATCACAATACGATCAATACCGTTGATCTAGCATTTTTAGAAAGAAGCTGTCCAACTTCTTGAAAACTTTTATTTTCGTTCTGGTAATATTTCTGGTAAGTGTTGGTAATGTGGTTAAGCGTCTTGAACCAAAGATATTGAAGCAGTGTTCTCTAACTGTATCCATCGCCCTTTTTCCTTCTGCTTTTGACCGAGTTTATTCCACACTTTCTTCCACATCTTTTGTTTCATTAAGTTGTTATAGAAGAGTGCAAGGTTAGGGACTAGGTCGTTCAGTATCCTCCATGAATATACTATCAGGTCGGTCGGTCGGTGTCGGTCTCTCTTTTTATTCCCAAGAGAGAGAGTCAATGAAGCTAGGGATCCTTGTCAAACCCTGTGTAAAGAGAGAGAGAGAGAGAGAGGAGAGAGAGAGAGAGAGAGAGAGAGAGAGAGAGAGAGAGAGAGAGAGAGAGAGAGAGAGAGAGAGAGAAAGAGAGAGAGAGAGAGAGAGAGAGAGAGAGAGAGAGAGAGAGAGAGAGAGAGAGAGAGAGAGAGAGAGAGAGAGAGAAAAGTCCAAGTGTCTGAGGAATTCCCAATAATCTGGATATTTTAGTGATGGCCTTTGTACATGTTTCAGCTCTCCAATCATCTATCGCTTTCCCTCCTATTCTTTACCCACAACTTCTTTCCATTATTTCGGCCTACCCCAATCCCTCTCCTCCCTTCATCCCTGTCCTTCCCTTATCAGTATGATGGCTTAAAAAAAAAAAAACTTTCCCTCCCTGAAAGATGCTGTGAGAAGAGAACATCATTCAGGACGCGAGAGCACAAGTAATCTGTAAAGCCCTATCTTATTTTCAACGTTCTCATAATTCACTGTCATTGTTCCTGGTCACTGCCTTGTGTTTTCCAAATGACAGCTCATCTAACATTAATTGTTCTAAAGTCTTACTTGTTCCTTACTCTCTATTATATGGTCTACCTGCATTTAGCTTCATATTTGCTACTTCTACTTTTCCATCACCAACCTAACCGTCCACTCTCAAAAATTCGCTATTATATGCAAATACTGGAATTAGTCTAGTTTCTTGAACAGATCAGTCAAGATGATGATAGCCAGGACATACTCAGGTGACCTTCATATACGACAGGCAACAAGTGCTAGCAACTACCAGACAACCAGCTAGTGTTACGTGTACCGTTATTATATTCGTGGACAGTCTGGGGAAGCACTTAATCCACAGGGGTCATACAGCTCCAAGGAGGAAAGGAAGATACATTTCCCTGAATCAAGAGCCCTTCACAAGCATCAAGGCACCCACTGAAGAGATTAAATGTATGAAGAAGAATGAACACTCCAACATGATAATTTATACGGACTGTATAATCATTACCATTAATAGTTATGAACTATTTTAAACATCTTGTAACTAAGACTGGCAGTACACATAATATGACGGACTGCCCGGAATGAGATGTGTAAAGGAAGTAATTACAGAATATTGCACAAGCCAAGATACAGTTGGTAGCGTCATGACATTTCAGTTAGTTGGGTTGACACTGAAAGTGCCGCTGCTTTTCATTTCTTCCCCAATCCAGAAAAAATATAAATGCAAATAATTCATCTAATCCTAATCGCTTAGCTCTTAACTTCTTCCTAATTCTTCTGATACATCCTACAAAATGTTCACACGAAACAAAAATCAGAATACTGTGGCTGGAAAATATGACAAGCTCATTTAATAATGGTCTGGGACTGACCGAAACTTGGTCCGGTTTTATTTCAACTTGATGGTCTTGTGATTCTCCCTACAAAATTGTGGTAACTTGTAAGCCCAATAACTTTATTTGAAACCCTTTATTACAGTGCTATTTATTGCT